TATTTTTAATCCAGTAAATTGTTGATTAGTATTTCGTAGGGAATATTTTTATTAAAATGGATTTAATTGGGAAGAGTAATTTTTTCTTGGATTCGGTGTTTAGGTTCTTCAGCAATTCATGAATAATATTTTAATCCAGTAAATTGTTGAATAGTATTTCGTAGGGAATATTTTCAGTGGAATTCAGAGCTAATTAGAGACTCACTGAACAAGTATTCAAGTATTCAAGTACTCAAGTAGTTAGAGGTAGTCGAAGGGAGAGTCACCGGTGCATTTGAGTACAAAAATAGTTGAAGATGAGAAGAAAAGACAGTTGTGTGGAAATAAGAGGAGAAAAACAATCCAGAGAACTGGAAATCTCCAGTGCCCGAGACAAACGTCCGGTGGATGCTGTCTGTCGTCGGTAGGATGAATATTCATGATGACTTCCTGGAGGTACGTCTCTCACCGATGAAAGGAGTATCAGAGGTTTTCAATTCCCATTGTCCTTCGGTGTTCAATGAGATTTATTCTCGACAATCGGCAAATGGATTATTCTATTTTTAAACATTTTATTGGGTGTTAACATTCAAATGTCACGGTGGGGGAATAATTTATGGGTAAAAAGGTCTCGTAATTTTTGCTTGTATTTCACTTAATGCCAAAAATGGTAAGAGCAGGTACGGTTATGCCACGTGATATTTTGTATGGCGTGAATAATCACTCGTAATTACTGTTTCCAAGCCAAACTCGCATTAAACCAGTTGACCTTCTGGAATAATCCCTGGATTTTGCTGCGGCGAAGAATTACCGTTACATGCAGTTGAAAATTTTTGGCTCGTGTCCTTTTCTCCATTGGCATCAGCCAAGGATTCAACGACGAATTAAACTCGAGGTTGATGATCCTCTCCGTTAATAAATCCAATTATTCCTCACACTATCAATTTTTCCGAGAGACTAGTCCAGTTTTAATCACGATAAGTTCAAATAAAATTCCCCCGGAGTGCAAATGATTCCTCCAAAAACTTGTTCCATGCATTTGGAATATCTCGAGGCGATTTACAAGTGCCGGATGTGCACATCCCAAACAGCCAGCTGTTCCTTTTCGCATGTCGCATCCTCTGGAAACTTAAACTGGAAATCCCCCCATCCCCGGGGACATCCTCTGTGACTCGAAATTGAGAGGACAAAAAAATCTCAGGAATAAAGTGAATAGTAAAAATATTTTTCGGAGGTAATTGCGCACCAGTGCTGGTGAGACCAACGGTTTATATCGCAAGTGTACAGCTCTTCTGGTTAAATGGTGCGTTTTAATTAAATTCAGTCGTCGACGTCGATGTCCAATAACCACGTGTATCTCTGTCCTCTCCGGGGCATCTGTTCTCTCTCAAACTCCTTCCAACGGCCACCGAACCCACCGGAGGGTTTATACCCACTCTGGCATAACTGGTGCAAACTCTATAGAAGTGTTATCAACTTATCAGCTCTCACTTTACCACCCGATGAGAGACAATGCCAGTCAACTTGTGAAACGTATACTCAGATTCACTGTTCATAATGCATTGAACGGGGAAATATGTGGGTCATTATTATTTTTTTTTTTCTTTTGTTTGGTTGCGTGTCGTGGACAAGTCCTCGATTACGCTGAATGAATTCTATTCAAAAATTTGCAGTATTTTATCAGAATTTTCTATTAAAAAATCCGGAAAGTTTCCAGAAGGGTAAATTTACCTCCCACTTCCCTCCGGAAATTTAAAGAAAACCAGAAAATTCGGGAAAATGCGTTTAATGCGATTTAGACGAAGGAAAATGATAAATTTTATTTTTATAAATAAAAATCAAATTAATTATTATTAATCGAAATTAAGTACCAATAATAAATTCATAATTAATATTAATCAACTTGAATAGTTAATTATATTAATTAAAGAATTAAAATTAATGATAAATTCCTTAATTTGATTTTGATTTTAATGATTTTTCGGTGAAAACTTAAATTTTATGACCCCAAAAAATTAATGAATCTCCAATGAATTAATTAGATTAAATTGTCCGTGAAATTAAAATTTTTTGATCATGACTTCCTGAATTTTCAATCGAAAACTGGTACCCACCTGTTTCTGTAATCACCTCAAAGGCTCTTGACAAAAATGAGATAACGCAAGTAATGAGTGAATCAATGCATAAAAGGATGCACTCAGTTGAAGTGGAATTGAGGCCAACCGTAGTGGCAGATAGGTCTCTGGTAGATAAACGCAGGGCTGGTGATACATATACCATTGAATATCCCCCCTGAATGTGTCTGCAGAATGGTGCATTGAAGAGACAATAAAGGTGGGATAGAGAGTCTGGATGATGTGTGAGGGTGAATTTTCCTTGATCAAAGAGTCTTGTCATTATCCATGCATGATCACCAGTGTATCACCACGAGACATGTCTTATTTTAATTCCAAGTGCTGTCGAACTAATGAATGCACATTAGGTATTAATTTCCATTCTCCCATCCACCACTCGAGATATTGATAAGATGAAGACGAAAGTCTCATGATTAATTCACAAGATATCAAGATCATCACTCAGCCACTGTTAAATGAAGAGGTACAGCTATTAATCTCGATTAATAGTTTTTAATATCAATATCACAAATTACAGAGTGTACAAACGACATAAACTATCAACGTTAAGACATAAAGTAATTAGGGTTTCCAGGCTGGGGTGAACAGTTATGTCCCTCTGTGTTGCTGCTGGCTGGATGATGAAGCTTGGAATTATTCTGTAACGAAGTTATCTCGTTGAGAATTAACTCCTGGATCTTGAGCCTGACGTACATCTGTCTCTCGAGTGGTAAACTGCGCATAGGACTCCTGACACTCATCAAAAAATGATAGGTGTCATCATCATTGTCATCCTGACATATCCGCCTCTGAATAACTTCGTAACGCTTGCGTTCGATTCCCTGGTAATCGCAATCAATTGGATCTAGGAGTAGACGTTTCCTCGATATTCTTCCTCGCTTTCTGATGGGTATACCACTCTGCTGTATAACATCATCACCGGTTAGCATTGATTGGCATGAGTCACCGTCGACGAGATCGTCAAAGTGCGCCTCTCCATCGCCCTCGAGAATATCGATCTGGGGCTCTATCTGCGTCTCCTCCAGGGAGGCTGAGTAGTGACTTGGCTGATTTATGTTGCAACCGATCACTCGTGAATTCATCTGATCCCGCAGGAAGTGCAAATTCTTGAACCATACCCATTTTGATTCGTGCTCAATACCTGAGGGCGAGCCACCGTCGCACGATTGCTTTCCTCTGTACGTCTTCTTCAGTTCATTCCGGAAGTTGTCACGCAAGTGTTTCCATTTTGATTTGGCAACTTCACCTGCAAGATAATGCAATCCAATCCACATTAATTCCTTGGAGATTCATCATTTTGATATTAACAAATGGAATTAATTGGAATGGAATGGAATTATTTGAAATACTCCATCCACTACTATTTATAGATGAGTTGGTTATTAAAAATGGCATTCATGAGTTATGTTGAAGCACTGGTATTCTAATAATACTCACTCGAAACATCGCATGCCCTCGCTATTTCACCCCACATTTTCAGTATGACATCACGATTGTGATAATGAGTATTTTTCTGATCCCAAATAGCGGGTCGGGCTTTCACTTCGGTAATGAGTCTCTCCAGATCCATCTCCCAGGTCTCGTTGTCCTCCAGGATGCTACAATAAATGAAAATCTCAATTCCAATCCCAAATTTCATCTCCAATTTGATCAGATAAAAATGTGATAATCATCCCGTCAGCAAACGCCAGACAAAAACAATAGCCATTGATAATGACTTTGATTTCTTCAATACCTTCTGCTTCAAATCGCCAAATCAATTAATGGTCGAGCATATTTGAATGTCGGGAAATTAATGAGCAACTTGTTGATGATCGCGGAGTATTGACTGATTATGGACTGATTATTGACTAATTATTGACTGATTATCGGTGATTGGGGGGTAAATAATGGGGTAAAAATGAAGCTACGATGCAGGCAGGAAGCAGCTTGGCTTTGTACTGCGAAGTTCTAGAAGGCCAGGGTATTTCGTTGCGTACCGACGCCGAGCCGAGCCGAGCGTGCCGTCCCCACGTATCTCCATCTCTCTTATCAACCTCTACAACGACCACCTAGTGTCCTCTCTGTCTCCAGTGTTTTCACCTGTATTAGTGTGCGCGCGCGTTGCTCCGGCCTCGGAACACACACACGTTCAGCAGTCCCTGTGTTGAATTCACCGATTGTGAAATCGTTAAGGCGACGCGGACTAGCTGCGTGATTACGCTCCGCTCGGCACCGCTCGGCATCACTCGGCCAACACCCACGTCATCCACGGGAAAAAAATATTTTC